CGCTGTGACGTGTGTCTGGACGTGTGCGCGGGTGCGTGTTGTGTGTGTGTGTGCCTGCGGCTTGGCTCGGACCTCCGCCCCGCGGTGCCCTGTCGGGGTATTCTTCGCCAGGGCCGAGCGCTGCCTCCCGCCCGCTCCCGAGGTGTCCGCGGCACCAGGTCGAGATCTCACCGACGCGTCCCAGCTCTGCCCGCGCCGTCGGGCCGTAGTCAAAGACCTGTGTCCTGGCGCCGAAGCCCGGGGGTCGTCCCGCGGGGTGGGGGTGGTGACGCGCTCTGCGGTGTTCGTCTCTCTCACACGCGACTCGGTCAGTCTGGCTCGGGCGCCGCTGGGCTTTGCCACCCTGGGCCCTGCGGCCCCATTTCCAAAGCTCACGACAACAGGCCTTTTCTCCCGATACTTGCGTGAACCTGTGGCCCACCGGGGCTTTGTGTGAGAGTGTGCGTGGGGGTTGGAGCAGGGGCTGTCCCCCAGCGACACTGGGGCGGTTGGGACGATGTGTCTGCAGCCCCAGGGGTGTTCCTTCCGCGCAGAGCGTCTCAGGCTGATGCCACTGGGCCGGCTTCTCTGTGACGCCCTGCCTTTTCCCTGATGGTCCCAGGGGACCACCCCGTGTCCTTTCCTCCTACAACCGCACCCCAAAGAAGAGGGGGCAGGGCTGGCTCCTCACAGTCCCCGCCACCCCCGGCCGCAGTAGCCCGAACCAGCCGTGGCCAAACCCTGAAGCACCGTCCAGGCCTGTGCTCTGGAGTCGACACTGAGTCCTGCCTGGCGATTTGGGTCTGTGGGCGAGAAGGAAAGTGGGTGACGGGCCCGGGGAGGCACCCTGCGGTGCGCGGCTCCCTAGAGAGGCTCACCCAGCCCCCCGGGGGACGCACGTCCCTGGGGGTCTGGGTCTGTCTGGACTTGGGCTTCTCCCCCGCCCAGCCCGGCCTTGCGGCCCCCGGGGCCCCACAGCCCACAGCTTACTGTGCCACGGCTGTGTGTCCTGTGCGTGCTTACGGACACGTGAGGGGTGCCGTCACCCCGTGAGGCCTGGGAATCTTCCTGTTAGTTTTTCTGTTTTCAACTGGGGTTTTGTTAGCTGCACAGGTGAAGGAGGAGCAGGGTGCGGCCTGTCGGCCGGGAGCAGGGCTGGGGGTGGGCTGGCCTGCCAGGAGCTCTGCGGTGACAGAGGCTGGGTGACAGAGGCTGGCTGCCGGTGGGGGACCTGGCTGGCTTCCTCTCGTCATGCCTGAGGTGTTAACTGCTTGTTATTTCTGTGAACGGCTGGGAAGTGGGTAACATTTACCTTGGGTGGGGAAACCCCTTGTGACAGATACTGTTCTCTAGAAGGCTTGGAGACCCGCCCCAGATGTAACCCTCCCCCCTCCATCACACTGTCGCCTACTTGGGCAGGAATTTGCCTTTTCTTGTAACAGTTGCGATTTTACATCAGATGCTTCTATTGTTCATTTTGCCCACAACTGGAAATGTCTATTTACTGACCAGATCCTCTGCGTTTTTACCTTTTGTTGAAGGCCGTGCATCCGCTGCCGTATATCAATGAGTCACATTTTATTTTGTTACCATCACGTTCAGAGTAACAGTATCGTAACCAGTAAGCCACTTTGATTTGAAGCCGTTTTGGTCTTACCAGTCACTAATGACTTTCAATGCTTTCTTTTTCTTTTGTTGTCGCTGTTCTTTTCTCATCTTCATTTGTTTATTCTTTTGACATCTTCTTAAGTCTTCATGCATAAGTTACCTCCATGTAATTTTGGACGCCATTAGGTTTTGCTTCTCCAAGATTTTTAATTCACAAACCGTACGCTGTGCTTTCTCCGAGTTCCTTTTCTTTCGGACTTTAATTTGCACGTGCGCTTCTTTTGGTTTGAGTGTGCTGAGTTGATCTTTTTTTGGTTCCATTATTTATGTTGCCATCCATTTAAAACAGGCCACTGTGGAATCTATCATGAGGGATAAGATGCCCAAAAAGGGAGGAAGATGGTGGTTTTCCTGGCGGGGAAGAAATGCCACAATCAAAGAGGTAAGCCTGGAGCACGGGAGGCCAGCCCCGGGCGTGGCAGGGGCCTCCTTCTCTGCCTTGAGCCCCGGGCAGGGGAGGAGGGCCACGCCCCGTGGCCGGCGGGGCCAGCTGCCAGCCCTGCCCGAGCACGGGGGTCTGGCGCGTGGTGCTCGCTCCATGCCTGTGGCTCCTCCGGGCGTGCGAGGCCTTGGCTTCCCCTGCCGGCAAGGCCGTCGTTTAGGCCGCGGCTGGGCTGTGAGCGCGTCCTTTCTTGGGCTTCTGGTCTCTGTGGCACCTGACTGTCCTTCCACGAGGCTCTTCTGGCCTGCTCCGAGGGGGCTCAGCGTCTTTCCCCAGCAAAGGGCCTCAGCTGTCTGGGGGTTCCTCCCCTGCTGTGGCCCCGCTTTCCACCCGGCGGCCGGCCGCGCCGTGGCTTGTGTTCAGACCAGCCGTGGCTCTGGGCTCTGCGCCGTCTGTCGGCAGCCGTGGCCACGGGACGTGTCAGGCCCTCCCCGCTTCTCGAGTCCGGGGCTGACCGCGGCTCCTCTTCGAGTTCTTCTGTGGCTGGACCATCATCAGGGGATGCGGTCACTGCCCGTCCGGGCGTGGCCATTCCGTCCACTTTCCTCCTCCCTCACATCAGCCCGTCACGGAGGCCTGTCCGAGGCCGCCTGGAACAGTTCTCGGGCTTCCTCATCTCTCCCTGCTCCACTCCCACAAACTGGCACCGCCCGGTCCAGCGTGGCTTCCAGGCGGCCGGCGTGCGGCCGTTCTTGCCTTTCCTCCGTCAGCTCTGGCTAGCGCCGCCGGAGCACGCCCCTTCAGCCACGCTGCTCCCTGCTCGGCGGTGTTGACCTGCCTGGGTGTCCAGGGCTGTCGTATAGTCAGACTGGACCGTCCCCGATCTGCGCAACTGCGGCTCCTCCCCCTCCCCCAGAACTCGCCTCGCCTTTCTCTCCGGCCCCCTGTGTTAGCTCCACGAGCAGGCGGGACATTCTGCCCCAGGACCTTTGCACATGCTGCCTCCACTCCCTGCTCTTCTTAGTGTCCCCCCGCCCTTAACTGAATAGCATCTGAGGCCCTTCCTGGCAGAAGGTCTGGCCGCTGTTGGTTCTGTTCCCAGCCCTGCGCTCATTGAGCGGTGCGGCTCTCGGATGAGCGCCTCTTTCCCCTCAGATCCTGAGCTCCATGTGTGCCTTTGATCTGGGGCATCTCTGGACCCAGAGTGGGGGTTCGGCACTGCTTTTGAGGGAATGCTGATTATCTGGGAATGTAATCAGAATGAAGAGACGCCACCACTAAAGATTGTTATAAAAGTAGACGAAACCCCAGGAAGCTCATTTTGTTTCTGTCTGACGTTAGCTCAAAGGGAAAAGAATCCTGGCTTTCGTCGGGACACACTGTTCTTTGACATTTTCTGTTCATGTTTCTGAGTTTTATTTCCAAGAGTGTGGACAGGGAAGCTTTCCTTGAAGAAGCCTAGATCGTCAACAGAGAGCAGATTGCTGCCAGCGCAGGTTTACCTGGGTTTCCAGGTTCTCAGCCGGGGGGTGGAGAGGGAAGAGAGCATGAAGTAAGGCCCCGCTAGGAGAGGAAAACTCCTGAGAAAACTGGCGCGGCCCTGTTCCGGACACAGACATACGTATACCTGTTCTTTGCCCGGGTCTGCTCGAGAACGGGTGACGGTGGTTGCTTACTTATCTGCCTCAATAAATAGCTGAAAACGCACCGGGCATTGGCACGCTTATCGGAAGCCGAGTGTGTGAGAGTGGCCTCTCCTTGGCCAGTGCTAGGACGGGCACACAATTTTTCTGCTCACATCGCGCGTTTTCTTCAGTAACGTTCTACAGCAGAGCACGCAAACCTGCCCCCCGGCCACGGCCACAGGAGACGAGGCCTCACTGCAAATGCCTTTGCCCTCTGTCCGGGCCCCCTCCCCCCACGAGGGTCCCCATCAGTTTCTGTGCCACGTGGTGACCACTGGCCTCTGCCAGGCCCCTGGGCTTGTCCGAGATTGCCGAGCCCGAGACCGGACGGCCCGGCCTGGAGCCTCAGCGCCTCTGGCACGTCAGAGCCGCGTGTCCTGTTAAGCGCACTCGGCGTGGAAGAAGAGAGCGTGTCCAACGTTTTCCCCCAGCAGAATATGGTGTGCAAATGTTTTCAGGCATTTCTATCAGCAATTACAGGAAAACATTTTGAAAGCCCCCCGGTGGGCGGGGCCGGGGAGGGGTCCGGGCAGCCCGATCAGCACTTGCGTGACTGCGGTGCTGGGCTTTGGCTGGCTGCCACCGACGCGTACGGAGAACGGGCTTATTTCTGTCAGGCGCAGTTCTCAGCTTCCCTGTGTCTCCTGAGCAAAGGAGAAACCAGGGCCCAGCCCCTGGGAGGGTGCGTGGGGCCCTGGCCGTAGGCCCGGCCCGGCCCAGCGAGCCCGAGGCGCAGCGCCACCCCCGGGCACGCGCCCCTGACGCGCCCTCCCTCCCCCAGGAGAGTAAGCCGGAGCGGGGCTTGTCTGGGAAGAGCCACAGCACCGGGGAGCAGCCGGCACAGCTGAGCTTGGCCACCAGGTACGCTGAGTCGTCTGGGGGTGCGGTGGGGGGGGTGTGTTGGGTGGGGGGTGGCTGCTGGCCCAGGCCGGCATGCTCGCGGGGTCCCCACACGGCACAGGCTCGACCCAGGTGGACCCGGCTTCCAGCCCTGGCTCTGGCCGGCGGACGTTGCTGCCCAGACCGCCGGAGGGGAGCGGCGGCCCCTGGG